TCAGTGTTTCTGAAGAAGAGCGAAAGGATGATATTATGCCATTTTGCTAAAAACAAATTCCATTAATTGCCGCTGCAAATGTATGGGTGATAGACATTCACAGAGACAGCGGCGAGTCCACTACACTTTTTCAACAACTCTGTTTTCACAATATTAGTGTAAAAACACACTGTGCAGTAATCAATACTTGCAGGCTGGGAATTGCCCTGTTCCTCACCCCACCCAGCCCCTACCAAGAGCCACTGGGTTTTATGCTTACTTTGATTTAAGTACTGACCTGACAGGAACATTGCTTCTCCGGTAGTCATAGGAGTGTGCTTTACTAGGCCTACTCCATACCTTTGGGTTTCTGTATGCTTTACTAGTCCTACCTTTGAATTTCTGTATGCTTTCCATTAGAGCCATAGTTTTCTGAGAGACTGTGTTGAGCTTCTCCAGATTAGGGAACCTCTCCAAGCGCTGACAGCAGGTCCCCTTTTCACACCTAGGCGAGAAGGAACCCTTCAGGTCAATTAGTGATGAAAAGCGTTTGCTTTGCCTCTGATTTCCTGAAATGTGAGGCCGGGCACCCTGTAAAGAAAAAATGGTTCCTTGCTTTGCTCTGAGAAATAAAATCTTTGGTCCAGGCTGCAGAGAGACAAGTAGGAATCGTCCCAGAGATGGTTAGAGACATTTAGAACACAGTGACCTTGCCAGCTAAACTGTTTGCAGCTGAAGTACTAGGGAATACCGCTTCGCTCTTGCTCCTTCCAATGAGCACATTCCAGGCAACTGAAGTTATGGGGCACCAGTGTGGGAACGGGTGGGACCTAGCTGCAGTATGGTTTTGTTTCTCTACCCCTTTAGTCCATTCTTTGGACAGCATGTGCCTAGCAACCTACAGAGAGTTACATCATCTCTTTAGTATCTGATTGGCCTAGCAGGACTAAGGTCAATCAGAGACCCTCTCCATAAATCTAGTTAGCCTTTGCTATGTGGTGGGACAGTGTGGTGTAGTGGTTAAGTGTGAGGACTCTAATCTGGGTGAACTGGGTTTGATTCTCCACTCCTCCACTTGCAGCTACTGGATGACCTTGGGCAAGCCATAGTTCTGTCAGAGCTGTCCTTGAAAGGGCAGTTCTAGAAAGAGCTCTCTCAGCCCCACCTGCCTCACAGGGTGTCTGTTGGGGAGGGGAGAAGGAGTTTGTAAACCGCTCTGAGACTCCGAGTGAAGGGCGGGGTATAAATCCAATCTCCTCCTCCTTGTTCTTCTTCTTCTTCTTTGTGACCACTTGGTACTGAAGCACATCAATGGTTTTACAGCTCCCTGACCGGTATCCATCTTGACTGCTGCTTGGAAGGGCTATGCCTTGACCAAACTAACTGCCTGTGCTGAACCATAACGGTAGCTGGAACCTTGACTCTATGCTTTAGCTATGCTGGGTAAGCTTAGATTTAATTATTTTACTCCTTCATAGTCTTGTCTTATTTGAATATTTTTGCACTTTAAATAAATAACTATATTTTTATTGTTGTGGTTTTTGCCTTCATTGACCTCAAAGACTTTTTCCAGAGCCTTGTCTTTTGACCACCTACCAGCTAACTGTTTTGTGTTTGGAAATTCAGTCTGCAGTCCCACTCTGCAGGGCTGAGTTTTCTTGTTAATTCCCTGAGATGCCGGGAGATTTGTCCTTTTCCTCCTGGGGTGTTGGAACAGACTGAAAGGACTTGGTGGCACCTACCAAGACTAGGGTGAGATTTAATCTCTCTCTGGTATATTGTAACTTTGTTTTCCTGCAACCCCTTTGTAACCGAAAAGCCTTACCCTGGGTTGGGACAGGAACTTTTGACACACCCAAGAAGAGTACCAGAAGCCTAGTAAGAGGCATAAGGGAAACACAGGTAACTTGTGTGGCAAGCAGCATCTACCTGGCTGGTTCTTACTTTAAAGCCCTGTATGGTCAGGGTCTGACATATCTGATTGACTACCTTTCCCCCATATGTTCCCCAGAGAGCACTGCGGTCAGGGTCCCAAAATCGACTGACCCTCCTGGGCCCTAAAGATGGCAGGCTGGCCATAACCAGGACCAAGGCCTTTTCGGTGGCGGCTCCATACTTGTGGAACAAGCTCCCTGAAGAGATCAGGGCCCTACAGGACCTTTTACAGTTCCGTAGGGCCTGCAAGATGGAGCTCTTCCACCAGGCCTTCAGTTAAGGAGCCACCACCAATAACAACTGGAAGGCACAGAGTCCTGTTCTCTGGTTTCTGCCAACCACAGCCTGTGCCTGCTGCATACACTTAGATAAGATCTATGAACTGACGATTAAGACAGACATCAGAACACCGCCACCTGAAGCAATAGATTTAGTAGAGACCTGCTAGCACTTTATGATATTGAACTGTTTTATCTATTGGATTGTTTTAGTTGGTTTTATGACTGTTACAATTGTTATTTATGTGTTTTATCCTCCATGTAAGCCGCCATGAGCCTGCCTCGGCGGGGAGGGCGGGGTATAAATTGAATGAATGAATGAATGAATGAATGAATATATATATATCTTGCTGCACCATTAACTTCAGTGAAATTAAGCCTAATTTCAAACATTCAAGCATCAGTAACTTTCACATGGTGAGAAGTGGGTCTGTGGAAGTACACACAGCCAGCATCACCAAAAATGTCCCGTGCATGCTCGGGAACCATTTGTGTAAGTGTGTGTCCATACAGTCCAGCAGAAATCTGCTTATTTATTTAATTTACTTCATTTATAACCCAGTGGGAACCCCGTGTGGCTTACATGGTTTTCCCTTCCGTGATTTTATCCTTGCAAGAACCAAGATGGGGTTAGGCTGAGAGGGTGCGACTGGCCCAAAGTTACCCAGCAAGTTTCCATGGCAGAGGAGGGGTTCAGACCCAAGTCTCCCACATCCTAGTCTGATGGTCTAACCACCACACCACACGGACTCTCAGAAATGCACGACCCTTCTGGCCTGATGGGAACAGCAAACATCTCAGGTGAGCTGTGAGAACCTTTTGTGCCTGCAAGTCAACTCTGCTCACATACAAAATCATTCTGAGGTTTGATCCCTGTATCTGCCATGTGAAAGATGTCACCATGGATCTGGCTGTCTAAAGCAAGCCTTAAAAAGAGCACTGAGGATTCGTCTCTTCCAGTGATCAGTCCTCAACCCTTTTCCAATGGCAAGAGTTCTGCCAGAAGAATGCCCTTCACTCTTCAGAGCTGCTCCCACTCTTCCTTTGTTGGACTGGGTCAAAGGTAACTTATCTGTATTCAATTCATTTGGGGTCTGTGGCAGAAGGGCAAACTGGAGGAGGTTTTTTTTGCCTAGTACACACTTTGCAGTCAATGAAGAATATGAAAATGCCTACCGGCTTAAGGATTTGTTGATATCCTAGGGAGATGAAAAGAGAAAAACTTGGATTACATTATGAATGTAAAAGTGACTATGCAATAATACTTATGGATACATGTCTTCAAGACTCCTCGGGGTTTTGTGCTTCTCTGGGAAGTCCCTTTGCAACACACAGCTTTATCTAAGATGATTACACTAACTTCTTAAAGGGTTTAAAGGGGTTCCTTCCCCCAAAGGAACAGAGTTGCTAGAACATCTTTGTTCATAAAAATACTGCAGCTTCTCCAAGAGTATCCACTGAATTCCTTGAGACACCAATGTTCACAAATGGCCCATGATGCACGTGAGCAGCCCAATGACCCGTCCCCTCTCATTCTCTCCACATTTAACTGACTCTGAACATTCTGTGTCTCCCAAACAGCTAGAAGCATCTCACAATGCCTTTTTAAAAGAGGGCTGCTGCTTTTTTAAATAAATCTCTGGTATGGATGCCAGCCTCCAGATGGGACCTGGCAAAAAAAATCATAGCTCTATTTTTCTGCTTACTTGAGCATGCAGAACTTCTGTCTTGACTGTGGGCTGCCCCCATTCATTGCTGTACTGACAGCAAACATTTTTATGGTTGAGCGTCAGTCAGAGGGAAACTGCTGGTGTTCTGTGATAAATCGCAGTAGGGTGGGGACAATTTGGAAATCCCCTTTGCCCCTAAATCTCTGGTACAGATGCCAGCCTCCAGATGGGACCTGGGGATCCCCTGGAATTACAGCTCATTTCTAGACTACAGAGATCAGCTCCCCCGGAGAAAAGGGATGCTTTGGAGGATGGACTTTGTGGCATTGTATCCCACTGAGGTCCCTGTCCTCCCCAGGCTCCACCCCCAAATCTCCAGGAGTTTCCCCAACCCAAATCTGGCATCCCTACCCCCTCATCCCCTGTCAGTGACCAGGGGGGACCTGACAACCCATTCTCTACCTCCAGGATTTTGTTTAGTGTCCAAGGCAGGACTTGAGCAGGCATATTTATGCCTCCACGACCCCTCACCCTTTCCCATCTGTCACCAGCTCTCAACGTTCGATGCTTGCTGGATAAGGTTACCAGGTGTGGGTTGAGAAATTCCTGGACATTTGGAAAAGGACTTGGAAAGGGTGGATTCTGGGGAGGAAGCTCAACAGGGATGTGATTCCACACAGCCCCCCACCCCTCCAAACCTACTGTTTTCTCCTAGGGAACTGATCTCTATAATCTGGAGATTTCAGGAGAAATCTACACCCCACCTAGAGAGAGGGAACCCTATTCCTGGAGCATATTTAGTACGCATCTGACTAGGGCAACGTATATTGGGGTGGGGCATCTGCTCTGCATGAAGGGGGTCCCAGATTCAGTATCCAGCATTTCCAGTTTAAAGGACAAGGTAGGCGGTGACGTAAAAGACCTCAGCCTGCCTCGGACAGCCACAGCCAATCAGAGTAGACAGTCATGACCTAAATAGACCAATCAGCATAAGGCAGCAACATGTATGTTCTTGGTCCCCTTAACTTTACTTTTTCCCCATATCGTGAATGCATGTGTGATGGACAGTAAATGGTTGGTGCTGTAACCTGGTCTGAGAACCCTGAGTGACAAGGGATTCAAATGGAATTCTTCAGCTGAGAGTTAGGAGTTGGGACTTAACCCTGGGAGAGTGAAGCAGACTGTGAGAGGATCAAGAAGGATCCTGAGTTAGGGAAATGGGACCCATCACCCATTCCTATCAAGCCCGAGGAAAATAGCTCCTAGAAGATGGGATTCCCAGTGGATAAGGAAGGAAACTGGAACATATAAATGTTCCTGCCTTCACCAACTTTAATGTCTCCAAAGCAGCCATTTTCTCCAGGGGAACTGGAGATCAGTTCTAATTCTGGGAGATCTCCAGCCCCCCCCCGATGCTGGCAACCCTAGTAGGAAGTCACGCATGATACCTTTGACAATGACAAACCATTGGCTACAATAATAACAACCACAATTAAAAGGTATTGCTAAGGAAAGAAACTTTGAAGATGACCAGTGTTCCCTCTAAGCTGAGTTAGTGTGAGCTGGCTCACTGCTTTTTAGCCTCCAGCTCACACATTTTTGCCTTAGCTCAGGAAGGGATGGCTCCAGAGCAAACTAATTCATGCAGTAGCCAAATCGCTCGCTCACAACTTTAATGCCAGTAGCTCACAAAGTAGCATTTTTGCGAGTCACAACAAGACTCCACAGCTTAGAGGGAGCATTGAAGATGACCCGTAAATCCTCACCTGCAGAAATTCACTGGCAGGCCGCCGGCAATCCTCCTCCAAATCCCCAATAAAGTCACCAAGACGGGAGACAGTGTGACGGAGTCTGGCATCATTTTCCTTCTGTGCCTCCTCCACCTCCTTCTCTAGTTCTCCCAGCTGAGCCAGGAGAAGACTCTCCTGCTTCACAAGAAACAGGTGGAGTTTCTGGAACTCCCGTAAAATTTTCTGTCTTTCAATCTTTATCTCTTCCTGGAATCAAATAATGAAGAAAGATGAGGGAGGAAAGAGCAGGTCAAAAGAGATCTGTAAAATGGGGACGCTTTTGTTCCCTGTTGTCACTACGGCTGACAATGCAGCACAGTGGCAACAGAGCTTCCCCATGGTGGGTTTCCAGCATTTTCTCTGCCCCAGTTGCCATAGCAACAATCCCCTATTCACCAGGAGGAGGAGGTGGCATTTTTTAAAGAATGGTAATTGACATCCTGATACAGCGCAATATTTATATGTCAATTACTGATTAAAAAAGAAACTTTAAAAAGCCACCTGAATGGCATGAGGGGTAGCAGGAATATTGTTGATTTTTGGAAAGCAAAACAAAAAAGGTAAACAGAAGCACAATCTGCATGTTATTAATAACACAATTGTGTGTGTATATACAAATATTAGGAGCTGCGGTGGCTCAAGTGGTTAAGACGCTGAACTGCAGGCTGTGGAAGGTCGGTAGTTCAGCAGTTCGAGACCCAAATTGCCGCATGACGGAGTGAGCTCCCGTCTCTAGTTCCAGCTCCTGCCAACCTAGCAGTTTGAAAGCAAGAAATTACAAGTAGATAAATAGGTACCACTTCGGTGGGAAGGTAACAGCGTTCCGTGCGCCTTGGTGTTTAGTCATGCCGGCCACATGACCACGGAAACGTCTTTGGACAGCGCTGGCTCTTCGGCTTTGAAACGGAGATGAGCACCGCAACCCTAGAGTCGGATTCGACTGGCTTTCGAGCAAGGGAACCTTTATCTTTACCTTATACAAATATTACAGTATTTAATAGCAAGTTTCAAGAACTCTTCAGCCTGAAAGACAAAAAGAGTCTAGAGTACAGACATTGGTTTACCATTTTTTTCCTGTTTCCCAAGGAACTTTGGAAGTTGTACTGCAGACAAGGGTGGCTAGGGATCTCTACCAGAATTTTATTTATTTACTTCATTTATACCGCACCTCCCACCACGATGGGGACCAAAAGCAGCTTACATCATTCCCCTCTCCTCCACTTTATCCTCACAACAACCCTGTGAGGTAAGGTAGGCTGACAGTACATGACTGGGCCAAGGTCACCCACTGAGCTTCCATGGTAGAGTGGGGAATGAAACCTAGGTCTCCCAGAGCCTAACTTGGACACTCCAACCACTAAACTATGTTGAATTTTTAGCACTCTTACCACTCTATTACCCCAGGATTCTTTGAATTAAGTCACGCCAGTTACACCAACATTAATTTGTAGTATAACCATTAGGTGAAGTATCTTTTTTATCCCACCCTTCTACCAAGGAACTCGGAGAAGGGGGCATAATTCTCACTTCCTTTTATGGTCACAACAGCTCTGTGAGGTAGGTTCTCCCAGGTTTAGGTCTGAGCAGGGATTTGAACCCAGATCTCTCTGGTCCCAATCTAACTGCTGAACTGCACTGGCTTCTAGAGTAGAGTCTAAAGGTGGTTTGATGAGCAATGCATTTTCTAGCATTTTAAAAGATCTACGACTGTGGCAGGGACAATGATAAAAAAATTCCTTGTGTCTGCAAGAATTGTTTTAAGCTACAGAAAGTTTACAGAGACATCAGAGAGAACCCTCTAGGAGCAGTGAGAAAAAGAGGAGGCTGCCAAGGAAGGGTTTAATCTTAATATCTCAATATTTTGAGATTTCTAAGGCAAAGGTAGGATGATAGACATTGGTCAGAGGTGCTTTTTAGGTATATGGGATGTTCCATCGCAGAGCAGGGGAATGGTCAAGCCGATACTTCAGTCACTGTAAGACAACTGGTGGCATGTGAGCACAGAGACATCCTGCCTTAATACTAGAGCTGCTGTTTTATAGCTTCTTATTAAATGGCCAGGCAGGTTGCATCCACAGCTAGAGATATGAAGGACAAATTGCCCACAGCGGATGTGGTTTAGTGGTACAGCATTTGCTTGGCAACCCTGGCATCTTTGGGTAAAGGATCTGGCATTAGGTGATACGTAAGACCTCTGCCTGAGAATTTGGACAGCAGTCTATTGTCTACTCAAATACTGACTTTGATTCTGATTCAGTCTAAGGCAGCTTCATATGTTCATCACTTATGTTGCCTTGATCCCTGCACATAGATCATTCAGCCCTTTCACATTAAATATGTTGTAGCTCATATCCTTTTGAGAGTATTCCAGGCTAGCCCGATCTCCTCAGATCTCACAAGCTAGGGAGGGTCAGCCCTGGTTAGTAGTTGGATGGATGACCACCAAGGAAGTCCAGGGTTGCTACGCAGAGGCAGGCAACGGCAACCCACCTCTGCTCATCTCTTGCCTTGAAAACCCTATGAGGGCAGCATAAGCTGGCTACAACCTGGCAGCCGTTTCCACCAAATGTCCTCTTCCCTGCCCCAGCTATGAGTGTAACAACAATTCACACATTACCCTTTTGGGGGAAAATGAGGTTCTCTTCCCATTCACCCTGGAACGACTTGTGACTCATAACATACCAGATGTGCGCAAGAAATACATACCAAATACTTTGCAGTACATTTCTGTAGCGTCACTTTACAGTTTTCGGCAGCCTGTCTTTCTGTTTTCAGAGTCTGTAGGCACACATGGATTTCATTCTGCACAAAGAGAACAATACATTTGATAATCACTGAAGGAAGCTTCCACAGTAGCCTGTAGGGCTAAATCAATGGGGGCTATACCATCTAGCACAGGATCTTTGAGCTATAATAATTGATCTGGAGCATACCATCCCAGCTGGTCCTTACGACCCAGTTCCTTGTAGGGTAGAGAAGGCCAGAGTACACAAAGCATAATCTCTGCAGAATGGTACCTATAGTGAGGCCCAGTTATATGGGAGATCCATGATGGAGATCCCCTAACATATTTCTTAACTTTAAAGTAGCAACAGCAGACACCAAATTTGATCAGGGCAGTGTCCCAGAGAAGGGGATGGAGTTTGAGCCTTTTCTTCTTGTGACATGTATGTGACATTTATTTAACCTAAATCAAACACACACACACACTGTTTGCTCTGTATTGGAGGTAAGAGATACAGAACCTTCCTCCTGAGGCAGAGCTGGCTGAGGGCAGGGCAATTGAGGGCCAGGGAAAAAGAACAGCAGTAGATCAAGTCACAGAACAGTTTGACTGGAGATCTGGAGCTTGTTGGGGGTGGTGATTGGTCATCTTCTGGGTGTGGAACAGCGGTCACTGGGGGTGGGGAGGTATTTGTGAATTTCCTGCATTGTGCAGGGGGTTGGACTAGTTGACCCTGGAGGTCCCTTCCAACTTTATGATTCTATTTTTTTTAATAAATGATTTTATTAGAAGATAAGTCAAATATACATAAACAAGATTACTGTTTAAACAATAATACAGACTGTAAGTGCAAATTCATTTAACACAATGCCATCTATTAACTTGTCAGCAGGAGCATCTTATTACCGTGACCTTGTCACTTTATTGATATTTTCCACTTGTTCTACTAGAGTAGTAACGTATAATAAAACGTATAATAAATCCAGATATATTTTAGGACCTTAAAAGTATTTTGTGAGAGTGCTCGAGCCATAAAAAATTCTCATAAATGTATCCAATCCGCATAGCTAGAATTTACTGGTAATACCTCGTTTTCTGTGATTCTGTGAAATCTTCCAAGTAACACGAAGCTTGGTCCTCAAACTACCAGAAAGCATCTCAAAACAATCAAGCCCAGCCTTTTAAAACTATCCACCCCCCTTTTCCTCGAAGCTCAGGGTGGCACCCATGAGTCTCTCTTCCTCTGTTTTATCCTCACTATAACCCTGCGAGGTAGGCTGGTGACAGACTTAAGGTCAACCTGCGAGCTTCATGCTGGGGGGGGGGGTGGACTCGGCTCTCTCCCCTCTGAAACTTTAACTGCTCTTTCGTGTGTTTTGCCAGCGAAAGCGTCTCTCTTCCCACCTTGTATTCCTGGGCTGCCTCCTCCACGGGAAGCACCGTGTGAGTTCTGTGCTGCCTGGATTTGTCACAGACCAGGCAGAGGAGGGCACGATCCTCCTTGCAGAAGACTTTGCGAGGCTCTTGGTGTTTCTCACACATCATCCTCACCGCCGGCCCGGGGAAGAGGGCCTGAAGACTTAGCCATCGCACCAGCGGGGTCCTTTTCCTCTCACTGGTCGCCCCGCTGCTGCTGCTCCTCCTCCTCCTCCTCTCTGGGTAACCTTCTGCCCCCCACTGGAGGCAGCAGGCCAGGTCTTCCTTCGACTCCCCCATATTCCGAGCAGCACAACCTGGGTAAACGTCAGCGCACCCCCCTATCTGCCGACGCCAGCCTTCTACAAGCCTCCAGAAACCGCTAGCCGAAGCTCTCAACACACACCCTTCCCCTCAGAAGTGAAAGTTTCGCTTTCCTACATTCAGCCTGGAACAGGAAACGACGGCAAATGTTTTTGTTCTCTTATTTTCTGATTGGCTGCAATGCAAAAGGGGTCTACCCGCCCGCTTGGGTTGGGTGGCCAACTCGTTTTTTTCCTGTTTTTTAAAAAGCAGCTTTCTTCAACAGGCGGCTCCTGTACAAGCATTCGCAGGCGATCCTGTCGAACTCCGAAAGCTTCGTTGTTGCAGCTCTAAACCGCGCGAGGGCAATCCATTCCCCGTAATGGGGGGAGGGAGGGTTTCTTCCGGTCAGCTGGCACCCCCGCCCCCACGCCTCAAAAGTCAGCCCCGCTAATCAACGTGGGGCTTATTTGGCATAAACGGGTAAGGGGGATTCGAACTGGCTGCGCGGCTTCAGCTCTACTTCCGAGTAGACACCGTTAGGATGGGGCTGCCAAGGGACCACGCCTGCGCACACTTCACTTGAATGTGAATGCAATAGGACTTACTTCTGAGTAATCGTTATTAAGGGACAAGTTGCGGCAAAGTTTTATTTCCCTGTAGTCCGCCCTCCAAATACGTTTTTTTAAAAAAAAAAATACTTGATATTTTTTTGAAAATATAACATTTAACACAAACTGTAAACTGCATGAGTGGATAGTACTTCATTTCTAACAGTATAGAAGTGACAATCTATACAGTAA